GGCATTGGAAGCCTCGTAATCGTTCTGCGTGCCGCCTTGTTGTGTACTCCCTCCGGCATCGGCCCACTTTTTACCAAGCAATAGCGTCATCATGTGACGTCGAGTGACGTCACAAGTTTTCCAGATTTGTGACGTCATGATGGCATAATTTATGGTCACGTTAGCGCAGGGCCGTCTTTTTGTGGGTGGGTGTGTGACTCGTGAGGACGTCGTGGGACACCAGTCAAATTTCGCGTTTGCAATGTCTAAGGCATTCGTATTCTGAGAAATTCCGTAATCATGGGATCCTTTCAGAGGGCAGCGTACTTATAGCAGTGAGTGAGCTCCCACTCTGAATGTTTGCAAGAATTGGTGTTTCGTCGAGAGAGATCAAGTGTTCCTTCTCATATATATCTTGTATTGTGTACTTTCATTGAGAATAAGAAAAACAATGTGGCCGCCATGTCACAGGTTCGATTCTGGTGGCAGCATTCTGACCGCATTCTCGTGTAGCAGTATTTTAAAGGTACTATTATTTGTTTTACTCGCGAGTAAAATTAATGAAGCCGTCAATACGGCTCTTTCTGACGTCTAAAACCACAGACATATAGGACGCAATCACGTTGGTTTTGGGAGTTAGGAAACGAAGAGTACACCTAAATAAAGAAAGATTCTGGCACGGGAGACCAAGATAAAAAAAACGAGGGAGAGGCGGGGAGGTTAGATAATAACGTAAACTTCGATTTGCGACCCTATATTACGGAAAGGAGAAATAGAAGGAGATAGATGCACAACTTTTATTGGCAAAGTTTCACCTCAGCTCCTCGGCTGTTGGTCAAGTGCGAAGAAGAAATGAGCTCTGGAATCGAGGTGAAGATGGATGAAAATGGGTTTCTCGCAGTTGCCTGTCATTTGCCTCCGTCTTTCCAGACACAAATATGGGGAAGGAAGCTGTTCTTGGATGCAATCGAATGTCCGCGGCGGTGACCCTTATGGCCAAGAACATGCGTAGAAGGAGCCCTTAACATTAGAAGACTGGCGCGAAAGGTTCGATGGAGTGAAGGAATTTGCCATAAATGGCGCCCTCCTTCAGATAAATGGGGGGAGGGCCCCCCTGGCAGTTCTCTCCCCCCTTCAGCGCGCTCGTGGGCACTTTGTCCTATTTTACAAGAAAGGATGCTCATTTTATCGCTGCCAGTCATCGTGAAATGGCTTCCAGGAAAATGAACATAAACAAAGAGAACAGCTCGAAAGTTCAGTCACTTTCACCGAGAATCGTTTCAGTCCGTGCTGCTGCATCGAGGCGTAGCCTCTTTAACGGCAAGCGACTTGGCAGGTCGCGGCAATCGGGTGTGAAGAAGAACGAGACCCTCGGTACCGGCCAGCGCATACATACACGTGATTGTGGCGGCGGCGTCTTTTTCGCGCGGCAGATGCGGTCCGTCTCGCGGAGGGGTGCGCCGTTTAACCCCGCCCCCTCCTTCCTTCGAAACAACGGCTCGTTTCCTCAGAGTGGAAGGCAGGCACGGGATGATGGAGGCGCGCGCGACTCGCCGCACAGTCATCGGTCTGCGTGCCGCACTGTCTTTTTAAAAGCGCCACTCTACCGGAGGGGAGGAGACGGCAGACCGGAAGCCGCAGTCTGCGGTCGGCCGGAAGTGCCGCACGTTTAACGAGGATTCCGCGGCGACTGCATGTGCTTGAGCATTGCGCGAATGTGGGCAGAACAGACCACCCCCCCTCCTTGGGCGGAACCCCTCCCGCTCTCGTCGACGATTCTCGCACCTCTCTTCTTACGTTATAGGCGGTTGTGCGCAGCTGACTTAGTTTCCGGAAGTGGGGAAGAAATGAGAGCGTCGAAGAAACAGAGGATCAATTGACTGCCCGGGTCTGGTGCAAAGGGGAGGAGGGCGACGGTACTGCGGTATAGTACGGAACTTTTCTTTATTCTTGTCGCCTCCACAAATATGGTTTTCCAGCCGTTTATGGGAAAAAAAGACGGAGCGGAGTCGGAAGGCCCGTCGCGGCTTCATTTCCTGTAGCCGCCTCGCCTTCGCCCCCCCCTCCCCCCTTCCCCAGCACTCGTAAGACCGTGGTTGCCTCGCTTGTCTTTGCTGAGAGCGGATACGTGTGTGTGAGTGCCCCGCTTTTGGCGCTCACACACTGGCCTCTTCTTCCCACTCTTCTTATTCCTCCGCCGACGCTGTCTTCCTGGAACCTGCGGAGTGCCGAACCACCGACGGTGAGGACAGGGCCCTCTCATCACGGCTGGCCCCGCCACGCCCATCTCCGAAATCCTTCCCCGCTCTTCTGTCTCGTTTGTCAAGACGAAGACTCATTTTTCTTTGTTCCAATCGGATCCGAACGCACCTTTTCCTGCGGCTAAGCGTGTTGCCACGTCTATAGCACGCAATAAGATCTTTTTTTTTTTCTTCGATGCTCGACCTTCAGCTACTTACTGGGAGTGGCAATGAGACGGCAGCTCGCCGCTCCCCTTTACCGCGCTCAGCTATCCGAGGCCACGGCTTCTTCGCGGGAACGGATCAAGGTGCAAACGAGGTCGTTCACGAAAAGTGGCCCGGCTCGTTACCATCGTGACAGTAAAGTGGATAGAGCACCGAGCCAGAAAGCGCATCTCATAGCACCGATATTGCGCTCACTGCATGCCTTCCCAGAAGAAGAGGAGCGGCGCTGTGCTGAGAAATTGTTCGATTCCGTGGCCGTCTTGTAATGCGTCGTTTGGAATGCGCGTAAGATCGCAGCGGGATGGCGTTACAAGGCCTTAGATGCCTCATCAAAATTGACTGTCCGCATCCCGCGTTGGCAGCCTCAACACGGACATCACGACGTCATATGACGTGACGTCACACGATGACGTGACACATGACGTCATCGCTTTGTCAAAAGCGGGCCGATCACCGGGGTAATGCAAAACCAGCTGAGATGCACCATGTAAAATGCTTGCAATGCCCCCGATCTTGAAGGCAGTGTAAGACCACGCGAGATGCAGTAAGCTTTTGGAGAGGTGTGGAGAGGATCAAGACATCGACTGAGAAGGAAAAAGACATGGCCTTTACCTTTGATTCATCTTAGGTGAATGTATCCCTGTGAGTTCTTTTCGATTGTGGATATCACCGTAGGGTCTTTTGAAGGTGTTTCATGGAGCCACAAATCTTCTTACTTTCCGTTTCGGAGCTGGGACATTTTATACTGACGCCGGGAACTCGTGAGACATGTCCTCCCGATTCCACGACACGGTATAGTGCTCTTCTCGAAGAGTTGTGTTTCTACGTATAGCTCTTTTCGCGCTACTCTGTAAACGAGGGAGGAACGATGGGAAAACACGGTTTGGTTTGGTAATACTTAGCGCTTTGACGCACTGAAAGATGAGTAACAACAATGCACTATAAAACTAGCTTTTGGATTGAATTTTTTTCCCTTCCTCTCTTCCTTTTTTTTTCTCTGCCGGATAGCCTTTCGTTCCTTTGGGGCAATTTATCAGGGGCTGCCTCGCGGCATCCCGTTATGGTGTTGAAACTTTTTTTCTTTTTTTTTAATTTCTGAAATTCCGTTCAGAACGCAACGTCCTCAACGGAATAATTACAACCGAATCCAGGAACCGGCGAGAAAGGGCGCGAATAACAGAGCTAGGTGAAGATGCGATTTTTGCAGAGCGAAAAAAAAAAAGAAGTAATCAAAACTGTAGAGTGAAGCGATAGTAGAACAGAAGCTGGTCGTCTCCATGGCGACCCCATGCATGGCAGTGACGGCGTCAATTGCCTTACCGCCGGCGAGCACACGCGTCATTGAAGCCAGTGCTCCTCCGGCCGCATCGTGGTTATCGCCCTCCGCACGCTCTCTTGCGCGCCTGGATGCCGCTAGGGCTGTTGTTGCTGCAACAGCCGTTGATCCGGGATTTCTCACCCACCACATCGCTGGCCCCGTCCTTCTCCGTCCGAGCGCTTCCGAGTTGTGGGAGGCCTCGATGCAGAGCTGCTCTGCCACCCAAGCAGGGCGCGCGGGGGCGAAGAGTCATCCCTCAATTGAACCTCCCGCTGCACACATCACTCGGGCGTCTCACCGAGCCCAGATGGCTGCCGCTCTTGCGAACGCCACGACGGAAAACAGTTGGTTCGCCGCCGCCTCGAAGCGCTCATCCTCCTTTCTTTTCTTGACGAGCGTAGGCAGGTCCTTGGGTCGCATTTGAGTGAGCAGGCCCAGACATGCCTCGTGGCTCTATTGCGCTAATGGGCACCGAAATCTCGCCACCCTCGCCGCCTCGTGCCAACACTGTGCGACCGCGTTCTCTATTTTCTTTGCGCGAGGCCGAAGGGGACGTGTCGGGCATGCACAGACATATGCCACTGTCGGCGCTTGCGTCATCATCATGCCACTTCGCTCGCGTGGCTCAATCGGGACTCGGGAGTCGACAGTCAGAGCACAAGAGAAGAGTAGCGTACGAGAGCGAGGACTGCGCGAGGCCGTTGTATGAATGAGTGCGAACTCCTTTGGAGCTGGCGAACTCTGAATTGGACGGATCATTCAGTTCTTTGTCAAGTAGCAGTTGAACTATATGTATATGGCCTCCGAGAAGGGTGTTCGCAAGAGGTGCTAAAGTGTGATGTATGGGCATCGTCTGAGGCTTGAAGTACGTCTAACGCTTCCTTCCACTTTGTACCTCCTCAACGTTGGGTGTCGCAGAGAACTTGTATATACAGTGTCGTCTATTACGGACTTCTGTCCTGCGGTGAATATTAAATTTACTGTTATGCTGACGTACGAAGTGAAATAACCTGAGCAGTCATTTTTTTTTTTTGCAATTTCTCTGACAGACCTATTGGTTGATTGAAGTTATACAAGATTCCCAATCATGTAAGCCAAGTCTGCGGTCGTCACTATGTAGTGAAACTTAAAAATTATGATTTCTTAACTGAGTAACCACTCATTTGAACTTCCTTCGTGTAACTACTACGATTGCATTTATTCCATTGAGCTTGTGCCCATGCTCTTTGCCCACGCAGTGCCCGTGCCTGAAGAGCCATCCCGTGGTCATGCCACGTTCGTTCCCGGAAGAAGTGCACCAGCTGCGCTGCCAGGAGAGTTCCGAGGCGGGCACGGTCTCCAATCTGAAGCTGCACGTGGGCAAGCTGTTCCGGTCTTCGTCGGCGACGACAGCCAACGGGGCTGCGCCGCCCAGCCCGTCGCCACCCTCCAGCCAGACGTCTATACCGCCCTGGAACCCGGCCAGGCGCATCGTCACCTTCGTCTGTCTCGTCTCGCTCATCTGCACCGCCATCATCGTGGCCGTCGTGGTCGCGGCCGTCCTGCTGTCACGCCACATCGCGCACCCATCGCGACAGCAGCAGCGCTACCGGCGCCTCATGTCCGACGTCGCCGTAGACGTCGTACCCAAGCCCCAGAACCTCGTCGATCGCACCAACACCATCGTCGTGCACCGCAAGAACCCGACCGCGTGGCAGTCCCAGTCACGGCAACTGCGGTCACTGCTGGACAGCTACGCCACCGAAGGTGGCGCCGGCGCCCGCTGTGAGCCCGGGGACCGCTGTCCCTTTCCCGTGGGCCTGGTCAGCGACAACTGCAGCGCGACGGACTTCTTCGGCTACAGAGAAGGCGCCCCTTGCGTCGCTCTGGTGTTCCGGCGCGCGCCGGACTGGACGCCGCAGCCCCTGGCGCCCTCGGACCTCGCGTCGCCCGCGGTGCCGGACGAAGTGCGCGAAGGCTACGACCCGGGCCTGCTGTACGTCACCTGCAAGAGCGAGCACATCAGCAGGGACATCGACATCCGCTACTCACCTTACCACGGGTTCCCGCTTCGCTTCTTCCCGGCTACCCGGCACCCGCCGCTGTTGATGCTGCACTTTCCCAACCCACCGCTTCGCACCGAGATATGGGTCACCTGTCGATTCTGGGCCAAGAATCTCGACCAGTCGAGCAACGGGAAGGTGACGTTCAAGCTTCTCGTCATGTGAGTCCGCACGACCACTAGTGCGAATTCCGTGGTAATTGAATGAGACCACCTCTCCTCTCCACGTGGAGGATGAAGTCGACGAGAGACCACTTTCTGGCAGTTACTCCAAAGACCATCTAGCTCTCCTTTTATGTCGGCAGGGACCAGTTTTAGACTTTATGGAGCGGTGGGCGAGCGAGCTGTGATCCTGCCGCAAGGACATGCGCGTTAGGACGAGGATTTGCTGCTGTTGCTGATAATAGTGACTCGTTGTCCCTGACACACCAGTGCAAAAAGCGAGAATTGATGTTTGCGCGGTTGCGTGGTCTGTGTGGACAGTTACACTGAAGTGCCGATGCCCGTGCATAACATTCATCATCGCTGGATTACATCAGCGAACACTCAATGGCGTTTTGTGCATGTCATCCTCAAGCACTGCTTGCTGTTGCCGAGACCGAAGACGTTCTCGCCAACGAACAATACATAACGTGCGCATGAATGTGTCTCAGTGTGTACGAAGTGCAAAAACATGACGCGTGTGGTCGTACTTGTGAACGCTCTAAATTGCGCATGTCTGCGAAGCAGATGTTGCTCATTACCGTGTCTGTGTCTTTGCATGACAACGCCATTTCTTGCTTTCTTTTATTTATTTATTTTTCTTTGTCTTGCGAAGGCCACTCTTTATACGGAAGAAATACATACAGAAACAGTGCTCTCTGATACAGTTTTCAAAAATAACAGCAGCAATTCACGACAACTCAATTTGACAAAAACTGCCAATGCGTATGATTTTTCTGGCTCATTACGGCAGGTTTAGCGCAGCTTTACGACGAGGTATTCGCAAGTAAAGCCTGGAAGCACAGGGCCCCCTGCGCACATGTTGGTTATGTTAATTTTTTTATTAATTTATTACGAACATTATGTTGTTGATTGTAAATTGTGATCGTGTACATTCTTCATGGCACGATGCAAGTGTAAATATGCCATCTTAGTTTGCCTTCGTCTTCAGACGTAACTTGAGACAACGAGATCATAGTCTGAACCGCACAATGCTGTTGGAACCAGCAGTGGATGCGGAGAACATCCACATAACAACACGGCAAGTTGAAGCATGTCTGTGTTCGGTACAACTTCAACGCGGCGTGAATTCAGCTTGTGAGAACAATAAAATCCGTAGCTGCTTGTGCGGCAAAGCCGTGGACAATATTTTTATATAAAAATGGGACCTAGTGAGCGCACAGAAAAAAAAAAACTCTTGCATATTATATTTTCCCTTCACAAAAAAAAAAAAAGCCTTCACACTTATATGCATTCATCACCACCATTTGTTGCATAGGTCACAGTAAGTGATTCTGACTACCCGTTGCCCTATGAGTGAAAAAGCGCACATGTCGTCACACACTTCACTTGTAGACATCTTTGTTACTAACTTGATTAAACTTTTAATGTGATGTTGATGAAAACCGGTGCATTTGCGTTAAGGTGAAACAACCACGGTTATTCAAACTTTATTCGGAGTCCGCACAATAGCGTGTCTCACAATAAAATTGTAGTCCTGGCTTTTAAAACACCCGGCCATAATTAAGATGCTCACGATTATTGTGATTTCTGTGATTATCATCACAAGTTGATAATCATCATGAACATCCTAATTCCGGTTATGTGAATATCCTAATGTTGGTTATGTGATTTATGGTGGCAAGATCGTTCTTCAGAATGCTGCGTTGCATTTAGGTCACTAGGAAAGAGCAGCGCTTTCAACCGAGCGAAGAAAACGCGGCACATTTTTTGCAGTGCAACACCAAATGCATGAGATCGAATTGAATGAGAAGCGTACATTCACTCTAATTCCTCGGTGTGTGGGCGCCGAGATCGCTTGTTTAAAATGTTAGGCCCAGGATCACCGCATTGTGTCTTTGAAGAAGATCTCTGTTGTGATTTCAATTGAGAGGCAGTGCTGCCATCAACATTGTCAGATCGAATTGATTGGTTGATATGTGGGGTTTAACGTCCCAAAATTGTCAGATTGAAGGGGATTACATAACGATTGAAATGTTGTGAAACCTGGGAGTGAGTCTGTCAATCCAGCTTTGTCACACTATCTAGTTTTGACACCGTGGCCACATGAGAAAAAGGAGATCATTACATTTGTCCGCAGAACAGAAAAGAAAAACTTGAATGCCAAACTTTTTTTTCCTTCTGTAATTGTGTCATGTAAGAAAAAACACTGTTTTACCTGTGGCTGCTTCTAAGCATGCATTTGTTACACTGAGCGGGAGACACAGCTGAGATTGCTATGCGAAGGGTGAATTGCAAATAAGCTCGTGTTCTTTTACTCCGGCGTGCGTTAACAACCGTTAACAGATCAAACAAAAGCATTTGAGTACCCTCCAACATTTGTCAGCACGCCTCTCACATACAGGGCAACTATGAGACGTTGACGTTGAAGACCTCCCCATTAAGGGCATTGTGTTCTTACAACATAGCTCCTGTACAATGCCAACTGTTCCAGTTAGGCGTAACCACATAAATTATCCCTGATGAAAGCAAATCAATGTCTTCATATGGTAGGATAGGGTCACGTGTTTTCTACTCGCTCCTACCACAGCTACAAGGCTACTTGTAATTTACGATCTTTATCTGAGGTAATTGGATTTGGATTACGTTTGGGAGGACTCATATATAGTATTCTTCCGCTGCGTCGGTTTTCTATACGCCACGGATGTCACGAACATCATTTTTACGAACAATGTATACCATGTTTTCTTGACTGCATTATTCTAATGCGGAGTTAATTACGGCGCGAAATTCGTCAGTGCATCTTATCTCTTTTACTTCGGTGCACTGTGCTGGAGGACTACGCGTTGTTTCTCTGGAAATGATTGTTGTGAATCTAGTCCTGGTTGACGAGGAGAAACGCACCTGTGTAATGTTGGTGAAAGCGGCATTAGCGCATGAGCAGCGCTGTTGTACAAAGAAAAAAAAGAAATCACCACACGTACGTGTTACGTGTCTTCTGCCAAGTGCTGTACTCGTTAAATCATTTATTGTTTTTAAGAGCAATAAAATAAACTTTACTACAAGAAGTATCGTTTCTGGCTTCACTGCTGGGCGGACTCGGGACATCAAGAAATGTCCTTCCTGTTGGCTGGGCAAGGTGGAATCGCAATTGAAAACGGCGGGAAATTGGCATGGCGCATGTGCGAAACATCCTGATCACATGCTGATATTGCACTTTAACTCAAAAGATACTGACATTCATTGTCTAACAAGTTAACGGAGGGGACACTCACACACTCCTTCCTGCATTGTGAATAGAAAACGCTTCATGTATTTATGTGCCCTCTTATCCCCATATCTTGCTGTTACTTGGCAGTCATTAAACATGGGGATGCACCTGTACTTGGAACACTGAAGTGGCTTTCCGCAGATCCACGCGTAATATTCGCATACTCATTGAGGTGGTCATTTAGACTACGCCCCGTCTGGCAGATGTAGCGTGGCCACGTGATAAATAGCTGCAGTACACCGCTTTTGAAGTTCATCCTACAAACTTTCCTGCATGATCCTTATGGCACTTAATCGTTCGAGTGCCTTCGTTAGTTGTGTCGCTCGAGCATAAACTGCTAACTTCGATCACTGGCGTGCGTGTTATCTCAGCATGCAAGCGTCGGAAGACGGCTCGTGTATACCCTTCCATGTTCTGTCCTCTCAATGCGAAGAGAATGCTCGAAAAGGGCTTCTCTCCCTCGAGTGGCCGTATATTCTCTTACGCCAACGTTTTGTAGAATTACGCGAAACTGGGTACAAGAGAGTTAGCTGTCAGTATTAATTCGGATAATATTACAATGGCTTGCAATCGCGTTCATTGCTTCGCTCTTCCAGTGATACTTTTTTTACATTGTTAGGAGGCCCATAGCCGGCAATGTTTTCCAAGGGGTGCAGTGGAGGCGCACATGTTGAAAGCCTCGACTATTTCGGAAAAGCAACCACTTTTCAGTAATTATGTTCGGAAAAAATAAATCCTCCTTCACCAATGCTTCAGAAGATGTGGAGAGGGGGCCATCCCTCGTCCTATCTGGCTACGTGCCTGGCTCCTGGGCTTTGTTAGCTACGTCAAGTCCAGACGCGCAGTTTTTATAGGAAGTGCTATATGCCTAAGTTCAACCAGTAAAATCATGCACGAGCACGGAAGGGCAAGAAAAAAATACTGCGTCTATAGGCTGCACGCCCCTCAAATGAACGCACAAACGCTTCAGAGTGGCGTAGCGCTAGGTGGGTGCCAGGTTAAGTGTGTCTTTGCTACTGCCTCGCAATGCAGGACATTGCGCGCGCGATACAATCACAGCCGACAATTTTTAGATAGCGTTGACGGGACAAGCGTGAAATTTGGACGTCATATCGCGAAAGTTGACAGATCGTCGTAACATATCAGCAGCTTGCTTTCGCTTCAACACTCACTGAAAATATTATTACTATAGAAAGCAGTGAGGTCAAGGTATTGTGAACTTACGAAAGCTTCCATTGCCGGTATTCAACGTGGCAGCTATAGCTGTTTTCTTCGGAATAACTCGGCGCCTACGTCGTTTACGAAGGTAAGAGCCTTATTACACACAGTCGGATACCATTCCGGCATCCGCAACTCAGCAATTTTTTTCTGAACATTATTACTATGCAATTTTTCACGTGGAAGAACCGTGTTGTGATCATGAGGCTCGCCGTAGTGCAGGTCTTCGAGAATTTCGACTATCCGGGTGTTATTTAACGTGCACTGAGATAGCGCGGTACAAGTTCGACTATCATTTCGCCTCCATCAAAATTTGACCGCTACGGTTTTGACAAAACCCCGCGATTTCAGGGTAATATATTACTCTTGAATCGGCTTATCGTAATATATTACTCTGAAAGCGGCTCTCGGCTTACAAGCCGAGAGCCGAAACCATGAAGTGTACCCCTGTGGCGGACCACTTCAGCTGAATTATGCGCATATATGTTAAGGTATATGTTAAGGTTATGTTTTGACGCGCGTTGTTGGAGAGTGTGCGTACTATCGGGAGCAATATGAGCTCGAACATGTCTGCAGCGCCTGGCAACGGCCTCAAAGCCGGGATATATAGCGTTATATGCGAATGGCGCTGTCAAAACCGCAGGGGAAAGGACGGCTGCTCTTCCGTTGGCTGTTGGCACTCCCGCTTCGCCAGCGCTGCTGCGAAACGGCACCTGATTGAGTGCCGTCAGCTGCAAACAATAATAACCCAGAACAAAAGAAATATCTGCACGAGAAACAAAAGAGGGGAATCGAACTGTTCAGCCGCCACCAGATAGATATGATAGAAGCACTGCTTGCGCATCACGGGAGGGTACACGTCAGTTGATATGTCAATCAATCAATCAATCAATCAATCAATCAATCAGTTTATTATCATGTCATAAAAGGATGTTACAAGGAGTAAAATATACAGACGAGGGTCCCAAAGTACAAGACTGCAACGGGACCCTCGGGGATGATTACAAATAATAAAAGCACAAGCAGCTGTTAGAATCGTAGAAACAAAAATATACAAAGCAGACAAAAAATATATGTCGGCAGCAATATAGCCTGAGGAGTGTTTGGGTGTGGCTGTGCGCGTTGATGTGAAGTCGTGTCACCACTAGCGGATACTGACAAGCTGTATAAGCTGCCGTTTCGCAGCAACTATATCGAGGTGGGAGTGTCAGCAGATATATAGTGGAAGCGTGGCGCCCTCTATCCACTTTTTTTTTTGTTGTTGTTGGCGGCCGCTGTGATCTGATTGATGCAGGGCTCGAGGCTATTCCCATGCGCCCATGTGTTCACGCTGCTCACAAAAGCTCGCAGCGGGACGCCAGGGATGAGATAAACCATGAGCATCTAAGTATTCTCAATTCATAATATTTTGTGATTTATCATTTTTTTCTTTTACTTTTCGGACATAACTTTCTTTCTCTCCCGGTGCTTTCGTGTCCATAATAATGGGTAAAGTTTCTGTCAACTGGATTGCTACTTTTTCTTATTTTTTTGCATTTCATCTCTGTACAAAATATTTTACCTCCTCATATGTTGCAAACATCACTTCATAAAAAAAAAAGGTAAAGCTTCGCATCAACCGAGTTCTAGCTTGCAAAGGTGTTTTAAGTATACTGCCAGTGCATAACTGTGAAAGTCGGTGTATATTTCTGGTATTGTGCTGGAAAGTGTGTAACTCGCGCCAAAGTACAGAGCGAGTAAATATCTGCGAAATGAAGCGCAAAAAAAAAAAACTGCAACAGGAAGCAACGAATAAGCGCGCGTCTTCCTGCCTTGCTCGTTCCTTCGTGTTTTACTTTATTTCATAAAGCACTGTTACCAACTGTCCGTGTTAGTCGAGAAAATATTCCTTGAGAACAAAAAGCATACAGCCTATAAAGAAAGATAGCAGAGATAATTTGGTACATCAACAATACCCGCCCGCCACTATTGTCGAGGTTATGGGGCTCGAATACTCGCCCGAAGGTCCTGGGATCGAATCCCGGCCGCATTTCGATGGAGGCGAAGTGCTTGGCCCATCTGATTACATTTCATCATCATCATCATCATCATCATCATCATTATCATCATCATCATCATCATCACCAGCAGCAGCAGCAGCAGCAGCCTGACTACGTTCACAGCGCGACAAAGGCCTCTTCCATGTTCCGCCAGTCAACTCAGTCCTATGTTTGCTGCTGCCAATTTATACCCGCAAACTTCCTAATCCCATCAGTCCACGTAACTTTCTGTCCCCCCTTTCACTCGCTTGCATTCTCTGGGAATCCAGTCTGTGATCCTTAATGACCAGCGGTTATCTTGCCTTCGCGCTACGTGCTCTGTCCAGGACCATTTATTCTTCTTGATTTCGGCTATAATGACCCTAAAACCCGTTTGTTCCCTGACCCACTTTGCTCTCTTTTTGTCTCTTAAGATTGAATTTACTATTTTCCTTTCCATTTCTCGCTGAGTTGTCCTCAATTTAAGCTGAACTCTCTTTGTAAGTCTCCAGGTTTCTGCTCCGTAGCTAAGTACCAGCAGGATGCAGCTGTTATATACGTTCCTCTTGAGAGATAGTGGCAATCTACCTGTCGTAATTTGAGAGTGCTTGCCAAATGTGCTTCACCTCATTCTTAATCTTCTAGTTACTTCAATATTGTGGTTCGGCTCCGTGGTTATTACTTTTCCTAAGTAGACGTAGTCTTGTAACTTCAAGTGCACTATACCTATCTCGAAGCGCTGCTTTCTTCCGAGGTTGTTGTACATTACTTTCGTTTTCTGCAGATTAATTTTAAGACCTACTTTTCTGCTCTCCTTGTATAGCTCCGTAATCATGAGTTGCAATTCGTCCCCTGAGTTACTAAGCAATGCAATGTCATCGGCGAAGCGCAGGTTACTAAGGTACTCTCCATTAACGATGTCGGGGTGTGCACTCAGTATAGAGTCTCTTTCGTTCTTATTTTCGCCATTAGGGCTCCTCCATGTCCACTTGCGGTTTTCTCGTTTTCGGTAGAAGGTATTCAAAATCCGCAAATTATTGCGTTCTGCGAATTCTACTAGTAGCTCTCCTCTGGCATTTCTAGTACCGATGCCATAATCTCCTACTGCCTGGTCTCCAGCCGGTTTCTTCCCTACTTTTGCATTGAAGTCTCACATCAGTATAGTATACTGTGTTTGTGCCTTACTCATTGCCGATTCCACGTTTTCATAGAAGCTTTCAACTGACGCGTTATCATGACTGGACGTATAGGCGCATAAGCCTGTACCACCTTCATCTTGTATCTATTATTGAGTTTAATTGTGATACCTACAATCCTTTTATTCATCCATGTTGCCAGCTATGTTTCTGTGGATAACGAGCCCTACTCCCAGTTCTCTTCTGTCAGCCAAGCCCCGATAGCAAATGACGTGCCCATTCTGTAGCACTGTATAGGCCTCATCTGTCCTAGCCTCACTGGGCCCTATTAAATCCCCTTTAATGTACTCTAGCACCTCGAATAGTACAGCTAGACTCGCCTCACTAGATAAGGTTCTAGCGTTAAACGTTGCGAAGTTCAGGTT